AAAGAGCTATCTGCACTCCTATGTTTGTTGTGGCAGCATTGTTTACAATAGCTAAGATTTGGAAACAACCTAAGTGTCCATCAACAGATGAATGAATAAAGAAAATGTGGTACAGATATGCTATGGAGCACTATTCAGCCACAAAAGAATGAGATCCAGTCATTTGCAATGACATGGTGAAATAAGCCAGGCACTGAAAGACAAATATTACATGTTCTCACTTATTTGTGGGATCTAAAAATCAAAACAATTGAATTCATGGACATAGAGAGTAGAAAGATGGTTACCAGAGGCTGGGAAGTATAGTCAGAGGCTGGCAGGGAGGCGTGAATATTTTAATGGGTACCAAAAAAAAAAAAAAAAAAAAAAAAAAGAATAAGGAAGGCTTACTATTGGTACCACAATAGGGTGACTACATTCAGTAATAACTTAATTGTGTAATTTAAAGTAAAGAATGTAATTGGATTGTTTGTAACCCAAGGATAAATATTTGAGAGGATGGATACCCTATGTTCAATGATGTGCTTATTTCACATTGCATGATTGTATCAAAATATCCCATGTACTGCATAAATATATATATATATACACACACACACATACATACCTACCTACTATGTATCCACAAACATTTTTTAAAAGTAGCATTAAGATTGTTGTTCAAAACTAGGCTTATGCACTCACCTAATGGAAAATAAAATTATGTTCTGAAGCTTCACACAGAGACAGAAGTTCTCCAGATCAGTAAGCATAAATAATATTCTAATGCAAATGTCAGTCTTGGTTTTTGCTTTATATTTTTTACAGGTATAGAAAACTAGAGGCAGTTTTTAAAACTATTTAGACAATAGAAAAGTATTCACAAACATTAGAAAGGGTAATAGAAGAAACTCTAATACAATATATAATCTAGTATGTATATAAACTGACAGAATAATGTATCCTTCATTCTGTGCCCTGTAATTATTGAAACTTGCTAGAAATAAACATTAAAATGGTAAAAAGTCACTTGGAACTACAATCCTGATAATAATAAGACTGCAAAGCTGAGGTCTCCTTTGGTTATGAAATAAATAAAGAGGCTTATGAAGATAATAATCATATTTTCCAAAAAGTGAGCTAAGAAGAAAAAAGGAGAACCTTTAGTTCTTGAGTAATTATAGGCTAAAATATTTAGTTTTTAACAGCTTATTGATTTATTTTTATGTGCACACTACATGCAGATAGTTTTAAGATGTAAATAATACTACAAAAACTTTTGGAGATTTAAATTTTTTTTAACTTCTAAGTTCAGGGGTACAAGTGCAAGTTTGTTACACAGATAAACGTGTCATGGGGGTTTATTGTACATATCATTTCATCACTCCGGGATCAAGCTTAGTACCCATTAGTTAGTTGTTTCTGATCCTCTCTCTCCTCCTGTCATCCACTCTTCAATAGACCCCAGTGTGTGTTGTTCTCCTGGATGTGTCCATGTGTTGTTATCATTTAACTCCCACTTATAAGTGAGAGCATGCAGTATTTGGTTTTCTGTTTCTGTCAGTTTGCTAGGGATAATGTCCTTCAGCTCCAACTATGCTCCTGCAAAGGACATGATCTCATTGTTTTTTTTTAATGACTACATAGTATTCCATGGTGTGTATGTACCACATTTTCTTTATCCAGTCTATCATTGACGGGCATTTATATTGATTTCATGTCTTTGAGATTGTGAATAGTGCTGCAATGAACATGTGTGTGTATGTGTCTTTATAACATAATGATTTATGTTCCTTTGGGTATATACCCAGCAATGGGATTGCTGTGTCAAATGGTATTTCTGTCTTTAGGTCTTTGAGGAATTGCCACACTGTCTTCCACAATGATTGAACTAATTTACACTCCCACCAACAGTGTATAAGCGTTCCTTTTTCTCCACAACATTGCCAGTAACTGTATATTTTGACTTTTTAATATTATAATAGCCATTCTGACTGACATGAGATGGTATCTCATTGTGCATTGGATTTGCATTTCTCTGATGATCGTGATGTTGAGCTTTTATTCCTATGATTGTTGGCCATATGCATGTCTTCTTTTGAAAAGTGTCTGTTCATGTCCTTTATCCACTTTTTGATGTTTTTTTTTTTCTTGTAAATTTGTTTAAGTTCCTTATAGATGCTGGATATTAGATCTTTGCCGGATCCATAGTTTGAAAATATTTTCTCTCATTCTGTAGGTGGCCTGTTCACTCTGATGGTAGTTTCTTTTGCTGTGCAGAAGCTCTTTAGTTTAATTAGATCCCATTTGTCAATTTTGGCTTTTGTTGCCATTGCTTTTGATGTTTTAGTCATGAAGTCCTTGCCCATGCCCATGTCCTGAATGATATTGCCTAGGCTTTCTTCCATGGTTTTTATATTTTTAGGTTTTAGATTTAAGTTTTTAATCCATCTTGAGTTAATTTTTGTATACAATGTAAGAAAAGGGTCCTGTTTCAATCTTCTGCATATAGCTAGCCAGTTATCCCAGCACCATTTGAGTAGGGAATCTTTTCCCCATTGCTTGTTTTTGTGAGGTTTGTCAAATATCAGATCGTTGTAGGTGTGTGGTCTGATTTCTGGGTTCTCTATTCTGTTCTTTTGGTCTATGTGTCTGTTTTTGGTACCAGTACAATGCTGTGTTGCTTACTGTAGTCCTGTAGTATAGTTTGAAGTTGGATAATATGATGCCTCCTGCCTTGTTCTTTTTGATTAAGATTGCCTTGCCTGTTGGGAACTTTTTTTGTTCCACATAAATTTTAAAATAGTTTTCTCTAGTCCTGTGAAGAATATCAGTGGTAGTTTAATAGGAATAGCATTGAGTCTGTAAATTGCTTTGGGAAGTGTGTCCATTTTAACAATATTGATGGTTCCTATCAATGAGTATGAAATGTTTTTCCTTTTTAAAAAAGAAAACAGGAACCCTGTTTCCAATTTTCTTTAGATGTTTTAAAAATGTACCAGGTTTTCAAATAATATGTATGAAGTTCTCATTCTTCAACCCTGTCATTTAAAAAATCATTTTATTTTTAATTAAAAACAATTGTTGTTTTATTTTTTATTTCAGATTGTGCTTGCATACTTGCTTCCTCTTTTCTTTCTTTAATGTTTCTTTTTTTTCTTTCTTTTAATCTCTTCTCTCTTCCTTACTACTTTTTATGACACCACATTTTTCTTTCATAGATGTAAGATAATCTTTCTTTGAGGACTTTTCTTCCCGGGCTTAATATTATCTCTTGTTTCTAACATTCCTTTTTCCATGAGGTTATTTTGGCTTCACTCTTCCATGTCAAAGACTTTTCACAAAGGCCTGGTGATTCCTTGGCTGCCTATTTAAAAATAAAAGTGAGACACTAGAAAGCTGATGTTGTGCCAGGCTTCATTCCTCCATTGGCTGTCCATGTTCACATAGTGTAGTTCTAGTTTACAAATGTCATTTATTTTTATTAAAAATTCTATATCTATTTTTCTTATTTTTATGAACTAATTTTTCTGAGACTTATAGGCTGAAAAGTTTTTTTGTGCAATTTTAAAATTAGTGTTATGAGTATTATGTTTAATGGCCTAAGATTTACTAATTTCCACTTTCAGATCTGTCCCCAAAGGGTTCAGTCTCTCTAATTTTACCTAAATAATCTAGATTCAAATTCAGACTTAGGTTTTATTGGAAACTTTTTATTGATACTCTTAACTGTTTCTAATTTTCTATACAGTCTTTCAAGACTTAGTGTAGCTTTCTAGTTTTAAATGTTAATCTCATTAATCTGACAGTTATCATGACACCCACTTACCTTCTTCATTACTTTGAAATGTATTCATTTATTAAACTAGCAATGTCTGAAACAACTTTCTAAAATAATAGAAATGATCTATAACAGCATCATCCTGACATGGTAACCTCTAGTCACATGTGACTATTGACCATTTAAAATGTGGTTAGTGTGAATAATGTACTCAATTTTAAAATTAACTTTATTTTAATAATCTAACTTACAATGTAAATAGTCATATGTGGCTAATGGCTACCAAATAAGACTCTATAGCATTAAACAAATATCTATTGCATGTCCACTGTATGCTGGGCACTCTTTTAGACATTAGGCTATATCAGCAACAAGTACAAAGATCTCCAAATTTTTGAAGCTTACATTCCAGTAGGAAACACAGTTTAGTAAAACAAAGAAATAACAAATACATATATTACATAAAACATTAAAAAATGTATTATGGAAAAATTAAAAGGAATAGTTGGGCAAGAAACTGCAGAGTCCTGAATGTGGAAGGTAGGCAAAATACAGAAAATATCCAGCAGAGTAAATCTTTTACTCTATTAGGATAGGTGAAAATATTTATTTTATATTATCACCTTTTCCACCTCCTGCAGGTGGGGTAACATTTTTTCACCCTGCTGTCCCTTCCAATACTTTGCAATACACTTTGGTTTGTTAATTGTTGTGTTTAAAAATACGTTTCTATTCCTTCTTTGTTTAAATTCATTTATTAAAAAATGTAAGTCTGAGTGCACTGGCTCACGCCTGTAATCCCAAACTTTGGGAGGTCAGCTGAAGTGTTGGGGGGATAGCTTGAGCCTAGGAGTTCGAGACTAGCCTGTGCAACACAGTGAGACCCCATACCTACAAAAAATTAAAAGGTAGCTGGGCATGGCGATGCCCACCTGTGGTCTTAGCTACACAGGAGGCTGAGGTGAGAGGATTGCTTGGGCCCAGGATGTTGAGGCTATAGTGAGCCATGTTCACACCACCACACTCTAGTGTGGGTGACAGAGTGAAACATTGTCTCATAAACAAACACACAAATAAACAAAAAATGTAACGAATCTAAGGAATATGTTGTCACACAAATTTTGATATGTCTTTATTCAGTATATGGAGACTTATTTTCTTCTCTAAATATTGCAGAGTGCTGAATGTGGAAAGTAAGTGAAATATGGCAAATATTCAACAGAATAAATCTTTCACGCTATTAAGATAGGTGAAAATACTGATTTCCATACTTTATTTTGGTTGTACTTATGATTGTATAATTGACATAAGTTGTTTTGGCACTCTCCATTCATTTACCTTTCTCCTGTTGAAAATATCCCAAATACCTCTGCCTCACTCTGAGTCATGTGGCTTTGAAGAGGCTTTGGAGAGTCATGTGACCTAAATTCTGCCTCAATTGGTAAATTCACGAACGTAGCATTGATGGTTTTTCAGGGATAAGTACAAACTTAATTCTGGCCAGGAAAAGTCAGACTCAAGATTTTAGTTTGAAATTGTTGAAGAAAAAGAGATTCTCTTTTCCTTTTCACTTGAACTTACGAAGATGGTGAAGCTAGAGCTGCTAGAGTCATCTGCTACATTGGGAAACCTGAGAATAGTTAATAGAGAGAAAATACTGGTGAAAGATGAAGAGAAAAACTAGTCATTGTTGATATTGTTGTGGCTGTTTCAGTCACACAAACCAAAAATACACCCCTTTAAACTCCAGCCACTGAAGTTAGGAGATTTCATACTTAAAATGTAAAGACCACTTCTCAGCTGTTATTAGGAGTGGCTGAAATCACTGTTTGAGCCAGGAGATCTCAGTTCCCCTTAACTCTGCCTTTGATTATTTGCATGGCTTTGGGTCAATCACTTTATTCTGCAGTCCTGGCTGCCAAATGTGGGAGTTAGGTGAGACATTCTCTCTGATACCTTCTAGTTCAATTATTCTGTAAAGCAGGTTAATGTGAGCATATGACTAAAAACACCATAACATGCCCTGATATTCTCCCAGACTAGAACACTTGAAGTCTGTCTTCTATCAGCTGTTCATGGAGGTGGAGCCAGAACTCATTTGCACAAGTGCCTGGCTTAACTCTGTTAAAGTGTTGGTAACTCCTGCTAAAACAATCATCAAGTGGCTCTGGGACATGTGCTAGAGCCTGCCCAGTCTCTGATGCATGGTCCAGCACTGAGCCAAAATATGTTGTTTCCAGGAGAAACATGGCCATATGGATTGCTTAATTTCTATTCCTTGAAAATGTCACAATTTTTTTCCTATGTTAGAAAATTGCTGTGGAATGACTTTTGAAAAATTCCCAATAATGAATTAAGTGAACCCTTTGAGAAATGTTGACTGTGGTTTTAAAAAATTAAGTTAAACAAGCCTAAGAGACACATATTCTAATGCATTTTTCCATGTTTCGAGGCCATTTGCTTCAATATAAATGTGTGGGGTGCCTAATGTGTCCGTATATGGCCTCTAAAGTCAGGCTCACCATTTTTATTTTAGCTTTCTGGCTTGACCTCTTACCAGCTGGGTGAATTTGGTCAAGTCACTTAACCTTTCTAGGCTTCAGTGGTCTCTCCTATTAAATGAAGATAGTAATATTACATATCTCTTAGGATTCTTGAGGATAAAAATTCTTGAGGAAAAATAAAATACTGTGTAGACAGCCCAACATTTAGGAAATATTCATTAGCACATTCAAGAAAGATACCTGGTTATAATATTATATATATATTTACATATGCATGCACACATATATCACGTGTCATGTACATATACACATATATGTATTTTACATGTATTATATGCTATCTTTATTGAATAGTTAATGTGTTACCACTGTATTTTTTCCTTGTTATTTCACATATGTATCTCTAATAAAAGTAAAAATTCAGAAATGTCCTGTTTTGTGGCTTGCAATATAAATTATCTGATTGTCCATCTAAATGGATTATAACAACTGAATAACTTCCAATTTAAACACCTCATTGTCTACCATGAGGAAAAATCATATAAATTTAGCTCTAAACATTGGCTTGCCTATATAACACCTGACTTGAAATTTCAAGGATCATGGCAAATATAACAGCAAATGATGTGTTATAGGATGCACAACTCTGCCAACACCAATTGCATACATTTTTCCATTGTGTCTTTAAATGCCAATAAGAGCTTTTGTTTGCTAAAATATTCTGTTATTGTGAGAAGTGAAAACAAAATACTGTCTTCTGAGGCATCCTTATTTATTGAGAAATGAGAATTTTATATAACCATTTAACTCATCTATCCTGTGGAGATCTAAAGATCACATTTAACTAGTTTTCCACTTCTAACTTTCTGCCTCAATTTTAATAAACTATTGAGCATGGGCTAGCCTCCAAGTCTTAAATTCACACATAGTAGTGAGCAGTTATATAATTGCCATTTTAATAACAACTCAATAACAAGAACTTTTATATGTTCCATAGATATTGCCTAAAGAATTTGAGATCTATTTTTGTATCTTCTGTTGATTACAGTTTCAAATAGGCTGATCAAAATCTTTGTTTGGTTCTATTTTACAATGGTTAACATTTTTAGAAACAAACACAAAAAGTAATACAAAACTTTAGAACTTACAAATTCCAATAATTTCCTAAAATTATTCATTAAGCTCTGTTTAAAAAATTGAAAGAACAAAAGCCTTGAAAATTTGTTTTATTTTTAAAAATTCTATTGTTCAGTTTGTCTCTAGTTAGACACACATACAAGAGAAATAAATTTTGCCACCCCTGGTAAAACACTACTCAGGGAAAAAAATAGGAATTTATTCTTTTGCCTACCTTTCATGATTAGAATTCATCTCCCTTCCTTCCATACAGTCCTAACTTCCCAGGGTTTCACATATTTATGGAGTGCCTCTTCAATAATAGCCATCAGTTTTAGGTGCTAAATTTACAAAGAGAAATTATATATGAGCTCTTTGCCCTGTTTTTCATCCTTTTCTATCTGAAGAACCATTCATCCTTCAACTCTCAGATGGAAGATTCTCTCCTTCAAGAAACATTCTCTCTTTGGGCAGCCTTGATAGAGCTACATCTATCTTGAACTCTCAATATATTCTGTACAAAGAGCTACATGATCTATAGGACTTTAGAGCCTTGATTTGGTTACACGCCTGTATTCCTCTGATAAGCTTTAGGTCTCTAGGAAGTGAGGACCTTGTTTTACTTGACTTTGACTTTCCCACCTAGCATTATGTTTTTCAAAAAGCAGTTACATTATTTCTTTGAATGCATGATAGAATAACTGAGCTCACAGCCTAATCTAGTTCTACACAGTGACACTGCCTCCTGGAATGACTCCATCTTTCCAAAATGTAAGACCTCCTAAATCCCAGTAAAAGGAAAGAAATGTATTAAGTCTCTTCACTCTGAGTCTATTTTCAAAAGTTAGTTAATTTATTACTATGTTGACAGATGATGCAGATTTTGCTTAAATTTTGTTATATGAAATTGATTGTAAATTCACAGAGGGTTGTAAAGATAGTATAGAGAGTTTCTGTGTTTCAGTTACATCTAATACAGCAATAATGAAGTATAAAAACCAAGAAACTAGCATTGGTACAATATATGTATATAGTTCTATGCCATTTTATTGCTTGCAGGTTTGTGTAAACACTATCACTATTAAGGTACAAAATTATTATAACAGTGACATCCCTCTCTATACTCCTATATAGTCACACCCATCCTTTCCTCCAACTATCCCTAACAATTGGTAAACAACATTTTGCTCTCTGTCTCCATAATTTTGTAATTTCAAGATTATAATCTAAGTGGAATCATATGTGTCATACTATCATCACATTGTTCGTATGTAATTTATCACAGTCAGTTGTTGCAACACTTTTTAAGTTGAAGTGTGGCAACCTTACCTACCTTTATACTCTTTTAACATCTCTTATTTATAATATAAATGTTTTGAATATGTTCCCTACATACATTTAGAAGATCAGATGGTGATAAAATTATTGTTTCAACTGTCAAATATAATTTAGAAAACTCAAGAATAATAGAAATGTCTATTATATTTACCTATAGTTTTACTTTTCCTATTTTTCTTTCCTGCTTGCTGATGTTCTAAGATTCTTTCTTTTATAATTTGTTTTTTGTTTAGCAAATTTTCTTTAGCCATTTCATTACAGTAGGTCTGCTGGTGAAAAATTACAGTTGTCTTTCTTCATCTGAGAATGTCTTGCTTTCCTCTTCATTAATGAAGAATATTTCAGTGGATATAGGATCCTAAGTTGACAGTTCTTTTCTTCTAGTACCTGAAAAGTATTGTATCACTTCCTCTTCACCTCCACAATTTTGGATGAGAAATCTGCTGTCATTCAAATTGTTTTCCCCCCATAGGTAAGATTTTTTTTTTCCTACTGCCTTCAAGATTTATATTTGTTTTTAGTTTTTAGAAATTTCATTATGATGTGTTTTGGCGTGGATTTCTTGGATGTATCCTGTTTGGGGTTTACTCAACTTCTTGAGTCAGGTAGATTTACATATTTTCTACCATTTCACCCATTATTTTTAAAACTACTTTTTCAGCTCCTCTGTGTTTCTCCTGTTCCTCCAGAATTCTGTTAACATGAATTTAGAGCTATTGTTATAGCCTTACAGGTCCCTAAGGCTTTGTTTATTTTTTTTAACAGTCCACTTTCTTCTGTTGTTCAGGTTGAGTAATTTCTATTATTTTATCTTCAAATTCACCAATCCTTTCCTCCGTCTCTGCCACTCTGCAGTTAGGTTATCTATTGAGATTTTATTTTGGTTATTATATTTTTTTATTTCTATTTAGTTATGATGATTAGTAATGTTGAACATTTTTTTCAAATGTTTGTTGGCTGTTTGTATATCTTCTTTTGAGAAATGTCTGTCTTTTGCTCACTTTTTAATGAGGTTATTTTTCTTGTTGATTTGTTTGAATTATTTATAAAATCTAAATATTAGAATCTTTATAGAATCTAAATATTAATGCTTTGTCAGAGGCATAATTTGCAAGTATTTTCTCCCATTCTGTAGGCTGGTGGTTTACTCTGTTGATAGTTTATTTTGCTGTGTAGAAGCTCTTTAGTTCAAGTTCCATTTGTCTATTTTTTATTTTGGTGCATTTGCTTTTGGGGTCTTCATCATAAATTCTTTGCCAAGGTCAATGACTAGAAGAGTATTTCCTAGGTTTTCTTCTAGAACTTTTATAGTTTGAGGTCTTACATTTAAGTCTTTAATCCATTTTGAGTTATTTTTTCTATATGGTGAAATGTAGGGGTCCAGTTTAATTCTTCTGCATACAATTTTCCAACACCATGATGGTTAATTTTATGTACTAACTTGTCTAGGCTATGATGCCCAGTTGTCTGATAAAACACAAGTCTAGGCCGGGTGCGGTAGCTCACGCCTGTAATCTCAGCACTTTGGGAGACCGAGGTGGGTGGATCATGAGGTCAGGATATTGAGACCATCCTGGCTAACATGGTGAAACCCTGTCTCTACTAACAACACACACAAAAATTAGCTGGTGTGGTGGGCGCCTGTAGTCCCAGCTACTTGGGAGACTGAGGC